TCCTTGTTTGTTTGAGTCATCCCATTTGTGGTATATTCCTGTCAGAGTGGCACTAGGTAACCAAAACACATGCCTAAGACCTGCATGCCCTAATCAAGTTTGGGGCCAGGTGTCAAATAGGCTTTCATCAGCAGATAGGATGGCAGCTGAGGAAGAATGGTAATAGGGTCCTGAATTACTGTGCTAGTCAAATGCCCTGCTTCCTGAGCAATGAGAATGCACAGATGACACAATCAAAGTTTACCACCAGAGTACCCCTTGGAAAACTAAAGGAAGCCATGCTGCCTCCTACCATGTGCACACTCCCATCACACACAAACATTCATGCAGGTAACTTTATGGAATGCCCTGTTCCCTGTAGCCCAGGTACATGAAGACACATAGAGTTGAGAGCACTTGTGCCTGAGTGAATGGTAGAGCTATACATTGATGCTCACTCATCAAGGAGGTTCAACAGTTATTGAGCCCTGGTGACTGAGACACAGCCCCATTCTAACTCCAATGAGGAGCTCACAGTAGGGGGGTAAGTGTACCTGTAAACACACCCCTGGGCTATATAGATGATGGCAGAAGTAGCCACAGGGGCTATAGGAGAGGCATCTTGTACAGCCATATCATCCTCTTAGGAGACTTCAAGAAGGTTAGGAGCTAAGACCTGAAAATCTACTGGACATCACCCAGGTGAAGAAGTGGGACAGGAACACACCAGGAAGAGAAAAGTGTAGGAGTAAAAGCCATGGCACATTCACAATATGCTATATAGGGCACGATGCACAGCCTAGTACTGTTAAGAGTGTTCAGTGAGCAGAGGAGTAGTGGGTGAGCAGGCTGGTAAGAGGGTGGAAGAGGTTGGGGCAGGCAACAAGGAGCCCTTGAGGGAACCCCAGAGCAGTGTCAGACACTCACTGTTAGCCTGTGTGGAGGACACACGTGGAAGAAACTGACCTGGTAGACAGAGCCTCAAGGTTAGTAACACATTGAGACCCTCTACCTCATGGTCAGGATAAACTTTTTTTGAAAGGAAAAAAATAAAATCTGTAGCCCACTAATAAGCATATCTAAGTTATTGAGACTTTAAGGCCATGTCAGTCAGTTTAGCAATGAGACTTTAAGGTTCCTGCCTAGGGCACAGTATATAACACTGAGGAACAACGAGGACAGGCTCTCAGCCCAGTATACATCCAGTTCTAGGATTTTATTAAAGTCCTGAAAATAACTAACTTATGAGAAAATGTGGTTGCTAGACTGAATTCTAAAATTTTTGATGATTGCTATCTAAGTATTGTTGTTGTTGTTGTTATGTGCCGTCGAGTCAGCCCCGACTCATAGCGACCCCTCCTTGGGTTTCTGAGGCAGTATCACTACGGAAGTAGGATTGCCCAACCTTCTTTCCAGGGAGTGGCTGGTGGGTTTGAACCGCCAGCCGTCTGGTTAGCAGGCAAATGTCTTAGCCACTATGCTACCAGAGCTCCCATCTAAGTATTAATATTTATTAAATAGCATTTTTAGCTACAATTTTCTTAAAAACAGACATCTTTCTGAGAAATAAAGGACAAAAAATAATCCAGAAAGGAGAAACCTTCATGGAGTGTGCCAATAAATCTCTGTAAATACTAATTTTAATTTTTAAAGACAAACCAGGCTGAGGCAGTTTTAATTTGACAAAGTCTGAGCGCCCCCTGATGGATAACCTGGAGCCCTACAGCAGCTGTCGTTTTTAGCTGCATGGGGTCATCTTGTTAATTCTTTCCCTTCAAATAATCAGCAAGTGATTCTTCTTTCATGATTCATACTAAAATAAAGTTTGTGGGCTTATTATAATAAGTAGAATATTTAGGAAGCTGCTCATTTCACAGAATTTAAGAAGAATGCACATTTCTTAAGCCAGAGACAGAAACAGGGGCTATTAAATGAGTACATAAAGGACTTACAGGAAAAATTCACTTTTATTTCCCTAGACCACTGGTTCCTTGTGATCTTTATATCGTCCCCTGGGGAAAATGGCACAGCCATTAGTCAAGAAAACACGAAGTCACCTACCCACCAGGACATCAGCTGCAGTCTGGCACCCTCTGCTGGCCACTCCCATAGCTGCAAGGTTGGCACAGAATGCCACCCATGGTGGCCTGCCCCAGGGCATGCTAGGGTGTGGTGGCTGGGTGACTTTCTGCTACCTTTTCCCCAGGCAATTATGTTGCAAACACAAATCCTTTTCTTTTGGTAAAACGTTATCTAGACCCACAGTAAGCTGAAGATACATGGCAAGCTGTTAAAATACACTCTCCATTGACTAAATGGATCTGGAAGAGTGCAAACCCCTTCCTGGGGAAGGTAAAGCAAGACAATGTTTGCTGAGGAGAGGAAGCTCTGGCATGCACCCCTGAACAAAAGGGAACAAGTGGTCTTTACTCACAGAACAGCTTCCTATTAGGACTCACTCCTTCGTACATTATGCCTTTCATCCCCACTCAACCACAAAATGATTTTGCTAAAGCAAATACAATGGTAGAAAAAGATTTACACTGAAAGAATCTTTAATAATAAACTGTTGCCGATCTGCCTACTTGCCCATGATTTATAATACAATAAACATCGGATTCTATTACGGCTCATGCACTGAAGCCGTTGCTCTGAAAAATAGAATATGAAAGCACCCGGACTCCACCACCATCACAATGAAATGAGCATGTATAAATGTGCTAAGAGTATCTCTTTGCATCTTTTATAGCTTGTGTGTATTAATCTGTAACGCTTATTAAGAAAGTCATTGCTATGCAAAGCAGCACCCAATCCCTTTCTCTGGCTTTTCAACAGAGTGCACTGTTTAGCCAATAGGATGGACCCTCTGGCCCTCATTCTGCATTCATCACAGGCAACATTTGCACAATGTATCTCTCAAAGGCGGCTGAAAAGAAGGCCTTAATACTCATGTAAACAACTGCAAACCAATTACTTAATGAATCAGGCCCACACATAATGAGGTGCAGACAAAGAGCTATAAATGCATTTTTGCGCCCAAGCCGCTGCTTTAAAGTAAAATCCCTCAGCTGTAGTTTGGGCTTAACCACCACATCATAATTATTGTCTCTAGGACATCAGAGGAAGCCATTTTTTTTGTTTTTTTTAGGTCCAGCAGGGTCTCTTTTTAAGCTTCCTCATCAGCTCACTGACAAAATAGAGCAAAGAAGAATTTTTAAAAGTGCTACAACAGCACTGCACTGTTATGTTTATTCTCAAGCACTGGGTTTCGAGACCACTTGTAAAAGCAATAAAGCTGAAGGAGTGACTGCAGTAAGTGGGATCCTTAAATGTAAGCCTTTAAGAAATTTCAGTGAATCCAGGCACAAATAGCAAAACCAATGCTCTCCAAAGCCCAGGGTGGCGTATTAATAGCCCCGAGCCCAACACAAGAACATAACTGTGACAGACGCCATACCAAACCTACTTGATCAATGTCTAGACTTTGTCAGTGCTGGATTATTATCAAGTGTCTAGAACCAAGGGTTCCTGAGAGGTTTTTTCTTTTCCCCTTAAAGAGGCTTATGAAATTACTTGTAGTTTATTGAGAAAATTAATTTCATATTTTCATAATTTCAGAAACAATAATAACAAAAAGCCTGCCACTTCAAATTGAAGGAGGAAAAAGCCTGATTTTAGTTTAGTGAAATACAGACACAAGATGTGAAATTACCAGGTTGAAAAAACACTCTATAAAATTCAGTTGCTTTCTGAATGTATTTAACAATTATCCAAAGAAAAGTTTAAGAATCGAGTTTCTTAATGCCTCTAAATTATAATGGAAACAAACACTTCTAATAATCTTTGAACACTAAATAAATGCATTATTAAGACAAAGAGCAACATTAAAACCTGAAAATTTGTAGAATCTGTCTTTTAAAATTTATCTGAGAAGACCTGGGATTTGAACTTATAGTACAATTATAAAAATGTAGTATTTTGAAACTTTCTGTCCTATAATTCATTATTTCCCACTTCCCTTTAAAGTTACAGATGGTAACTCGGGTATTAAGATACTAATTCCTGATAATTAAATAAGCAGTTCCATAACACTGAAAAGGAAAAAAGTTTCTGAAAGGAAAAATTTAATTAAAAAAAATCAATCTTATTTTAAGATCCTAAAAACACTATAATAAATATAACTGAAAATACAATTTTTCATTTAAAAAATGTTACACCAGTAGATCAAATCATTTTATCTTATGGGATATCTTAAGGACACCTTTTTAATGAGAAACGATATTACAAAAGGAAACTTCCTGTGGTGTTTTAAACGATATATAGCCCAAAGCAAAAAGGTAGGTATTTTATCAGATGATTGCTTATTCCCACTTATAAACTCCTTCTCAGGGATTTGATAGCATTGCATGATTAGTATCTTACGTTGACAACAAATTCAAGACACAACTCATTTATCTTTACTCAGAAAACTTACAAGAAGTGGTATAGTTTAAGGGAGTGAAAAGATAAATTTTGCTCTTTATGGAAAATAAGCAAGAAAGTAGCAGAAATGGACAGAATTATCTAGTCTAAATACTTGGTAAAAATACAAAAAAGGAATACAAAAATGTATATTGAGCAATTGCTAGTCTATATACGGGCCGTCTCAGAAATAAGAAACAAGCCACTTTATTTCTTTAAAGGCCTGATGTTTTCTCTCTGCCCTCTTCCTGACAACTTCCATTGTGTGGTCTCTAAGCAGTCCTACTGCGAGCAGCTGTAGATGCTAATTTGTGGTTCACTGAGGTGTCAACTGAGTCTTAAACCTAGGAAACAACAGCTGCAAAACAATACTTGGCTCTGGTGCAAATATTTTCAAAGGTAGCTTAAAGTTTCAACTGTTATTTTAGATAAACACAAATCCAAGCCATAACCCTCCATCAAATCACAAAACAAAAATATATGCAGCCAGAGTTTAATTCATTGCATAGTGACATTTTTCATCTTGTGGCCACTGTTCAGAAAGGCTTTCACGACTTTACCTTGACAAAGGACTTCCTTTGCTAGATGAAAAATCTGCTTCCGAAGCGATTTTGTTAGTTGTCTTTGTCTTGAATGTGCCGCTGCCAATATTCAAACCTGTGATGAGCACAAACAAGGACAGTGAGTGTCGGCTGCCATGCAGTGATGAAACACAACGGAGAAAGACGTGGCCTCATAACAACTTTGGTAAAACAAACGTCAACAGGGAAAAATGCTGCTCAATCCACAGACAGCAAGGGAGCCTCTGAGGCATGGAATGGCATGCTGTAGAATACTGAAAGGAAGTCACAGAAATTTTAAAATAAAATCACCCGAAGAGCTCTGATTTCAATGAGTGAGGTGCATGTATAAGCACACAAGTCTTACTCACATTGTAATGCATGGACAGTGGTGGGTCCCAGTTCATGGTTTCCAGGAACCAGATCTCAGAAATAATTGATACCTCTGGATGACATTTACCCACCGTACCCATCCTGAAGGCCCTCTGCCAAATCCTCTATTTTGCATCTTGCAGAGGAGGCTGAATTCCCATTGAAAACTATCAAGGCCAGGCTGGAAAGGTTGGTGAGGAGGATGAACAACAGGACTCTCTCCTTGAAGCTGGGTGAACAGGACTGCCCCCATGGTATACCCAGACAGCAGGGGAATCCCTGACCTCAGCCTTCTTGGCCTCCTCAGTCTTCATGTTTCTTCTACAGTTTTCGTTCTTAACTGGTTACTGGGGATCATGAATGGAGAATGCACAAGTATTTTTGTAAATGGCATTTTCTGAGCTTCTAACCTGTAACCTGCTTGCCTGAATGTACACTCTGCAGCAAAACAATTTTCTTAACAATATATCCCCCTTCAGTCCAAGAGTTTCCACATGTTTAACAGGACAAGGTCTTTTTAGATGTTAAAATCAAGGCACAAGGTTTAAGAGGCTTTCCTTTGCAACAGGACCAAAGACAGGGCCCAAGACGTGTAGCAGAAAGTAACAGAAATGCATTCTTCTTCAATAGTTAGATCTGGGGGTTGTGAATGCATATCCCCATTACTACCTGTATGTAACAATGCTATGAAACTTAACCCAGTACGCAGCAGCTTCAGTTTCCCTTCTTGATCTTAGCCCATTTTCTCCTTCTCTTGGGAGCATTGGAAAAGTCCCTAGGCTCAGAGTGAGTGTGAAGGTGAAGAGCAGTATGTGACCAGATGTGAAATACATACACGAGGCAGGGTCTCACACCTGGCAGACAAGCCTATCAGAAGCACTTCTCTGATTCTAATGCAAGAAAATTTGGAATCTTGAAAAACATAGTGTACAGTTTTACAGATAAAGTGAGGGAATGGAATGTAGGGGTGCTTGACTACACAACCAATAAAAATAACTTAATAAACAAATGCATTAATGATTAGTATATCGACAGTACCATAATTCTTTTTTTTTTTCTATTGAGCCTCATCTTTCTCCCATGGAACAGTTGGCAGGTTTGCCCCTCTGACCCTTTGGTTGGATAGCAGACAAACACTTTAACCACTATAACACCAGAGCTCCAATAGCACCGTAATTCTTGATGCATATCTATCAGACTACAAGTTAAGCAAAATTTACTCATTCCTTGAACCTGTTCAATTAACTACCCACAAACAGATTTGTAGCATTGCTTCCCCAAACTGCGTGTGTCCCTACTAAGCAGAGGTAATGCTCTATGCAAGACATTGCTCTCTTGGGAGCTTATATGTAAAATAAGGCGATTGGACTTATTTCTAAGATCATGTGAACTCTAATTCCGTGACTCAAGTGTGAACAATGTGATGAAAAGTAAAAGTTATAGTTTCATAAGTGTTACATCTTTCCAAAGAGATGATGATCTCTCCTAGGGCAGAGGCCCCGTTTTAAGATCCCACAGACACCGAAGTTAACCAAACCCTTGCTGGGCACTTACCCTGCTGTGGCTCACTGAGTGCTCAGAGTAACCAAAATAACTGAGTTTTGCAGCAACCAACTTGAACACTAATGTTATGCAGTTCTCCAACAACAGACATCTCAGTCCAATGCCCCATTAGTATGTCCTAATAAACATCTATTTAAAGAAGACAGCTTGAGAAAAGTGAAAAATCTGAAAGTAATATTAAGAAATCACTGTTAATTCTGATAGGTACTGCATGGTAGCTATGAAAAAATAAGAAAGTCATTAAAAATGTACTTCTGTATTCATTATTAAATCACTTTTACAAAGGGAAATGAGATGAGTGACATTGAAAAAAACCAAACGTGTAATGAAATGAAAACCATACGAATAGAATAAAGTATAAGAAAACAAAGAAAATTATCAAAACAGAAATTCTAGACTGAGGAACAACATTTATGCTTAAAATTTAGTTCTCCCAGGTTTTACAGTCTTCATTTCAAGAACTCAAAATGCCCCAACATTCCATCGAGAGGGGGCAGCACCACACAGTGATCCCCATTTGATTAAGAAATTGGGAGATATGGGAAGAAGGAATTTTAGGTTGACTGTTGTGGCACCTGCCAGGGCCATCTACTTCCGTAGTGATACTGCCTTGGAAACTCAACGGCACATAACAACAACAACTTGCGGCACTTAAAACAAGTGGCTACTGTAACATACCAAGTGAGAATGAGGGGCTTGTGAGGGCCACTCACCAAGCCTGGTACAGCAGACCCAGGAGGGTGGGCTCTTTCTTAGTCACACCAATCCATCCCATTAAGTATGAAAATGGCCTGGCTCATTCTTACCTAGTAACAGGTCATTACAAAGCAAACTCCAGAAATCTTCAAAGAACGGCCTCATTTCCCCGAACACTGACAACCCTGGCCACTGATCTGACTGCCTGAACACTGGCTTCAAGTGTTGAATCCACCCTCTGCTTTTACTTACCAGACAACTGTGATGTGGAAGCACTCGCCTTCTGGAATCTGTCTTCAGTTTGATGTATGTTATCCTGGAGGGTAGATTGTTTCAGTAACTGGTAGGCTTTTGTTTCTATAGATTAAAAAAAGACACAGAAATACTAAATTTTCTACTGCCCAGAGAGAAGTTTCTTAGATTCTTCCTGCTAGGTTAGCACTTTTAAAATGCGTGCAAATTTTTTGAAAGTCTTTTCACACAACCAACCAACCAATCAAAACCAATTTAGGTGGACCTGGGTTGTTTCAAGACTCAAAGACAAGTTGCATGAGTTTATATGAGGAGGCCAAATTCCAGCTGTCATTTTGAGTGCGTCTGTAGCTAGATTTAATAGTAAATAATTTCTCATCACTCCAGTTTCTGCAGGAGCCACAACAGAAATGAATTAGAAGGCCAGCACAGGCTTCCAGAACTACCAAATCCCTCTGGAGTGCCTCTACCCTGGCTCTCAAGACTAACATCTGAGTGTGGGGGCTCTAGGAGAGCCTGGGGGAGGATCAGAAAGGTGAGGGCAGCAGAATGGCTCAGAGCTCCACAGGTGAAAAACTTTAACCAAGGCTTGTCATGGGTGGGAGAGGGAGAGTTCACAGGGGCCAAAGCAACCAGCAGCAACCTGAACCTGGCTTTGTTCTACACAATGCCCTTAACTATGCAGGGCTTCTAACAGTGTATGCTGTAGGTTAACTTGGGAATGACTGTGGGGAAAAACAACAAATAATTAGGCAAAGGGAACAAGTGATACAAGTCTCCCCATGACCTCCAGTCTTTAGGGTACCTGGATAAATAGAGGACAAAGAACAGGAATTTAGCACAGATGGACAGTTTCTTGGCTGTCAATGGCCCTCAGTCCCTACATTCACATTTTCATTGTGACCACGAAAGCATTCCTGCAGTCAGCATCACGGACAGGCAATCAGTTGTATTCCTGCTCAATTTACGAACTCAACTAAGAGCTCCTTATTACTGGATTAAAATAAACATTATACTAAAGAACAAAAATATAACTTATCTTGCCCTACTGAAAATCTGTCAAGATAAAAAAACTAAATAAGCACCACGCTTTTGAATGTTAAATGCCATGTAATTAAAATATGTACAGATTAGGGACTCTTAACAGTGAAGATAATAGATTGAAAGGCAATATTTCATTTTGTTTTTTAACATTGCTAGATTGTGAAATCAATTTGGTGGGCTGCAACTACTATTTAAAAAAATTTAATAAAGAAGATATCAGATGCAGTGCACATAGTAAGGGAAAGTACTATTTTGTGTAACTTCTGAGTGTGTAGGTTGAGTACAGGTCTGCGATATTAAAAAATGTTTTCTGGGGTAGGTTAGTCCCACTATCTTATTGCACAGCAATACTCTCTAAATAATTGCAATATGTCATATTATGTCAGATTTGCCTTTGACACAGTGGCTGTGACGATGGGCTCAAGCACAGCAAGGATCACGGAGCTGGTGCGGGACTAGGCAGTGTTTTGTTCTGCTATGCATAGGGGTGCTATGAGTCGGACATGACTCAATGGTACCTAACAGCAACAACATGCTGTATGCTAATTTCAGGATGAAAAAGATGTTGAAAAGATTAAAGACAATGTATGAATTCTAAAAAAAGGTAAAGAATCACTGCAAAAGGTGAAAATGTTGTGTTTTGTTTTATTAGATTAACCAAAAAGTTTTCCTGTTTTTAGTATATAAATCCAAATCTTAACGACTGTATGCTATTTCTGCATTCAAGGCCAGGGAAAAGATAACAAACATAGAAATTTAAAAAAAGCAGAAAAGAAAAAAAAAGGGTGGGGGAGCCAACTTCTTGGTAAACACAGACCCCCAGACCCTGGAGTTGGAGCGGTGGTTTGCAATTCTTCCATGTCAATTATCTTAAGGCGGAGGAAGTGGAATGTCAATGGGCTGTCTCTCCTGCTTCTCCGAAACCAGGAAAACATACACCATTTACTTTTAGGAGATGATTTCTTTGAGAAATATCAAGTTAACAGTTGAGAGGTAATTTCAGGTTTGTGAAGATTAAATACTTCGCTCAAATATAAGACAGTACTGATCTTATTGGGAGCTCTGGTGGTGTAGTGCCTAAGGCACTTGACTGCTAACCAGAAGGTTGGTGGTTCAAACCCATCAGGAACTCTTTGGAAGGAAGGTTGGGCAATCTACTTCAATAGTGATACTGCCTCGGAAACCCAAGGAGGGGTTGCTATGAGTTGCGTCTGACCTGACGGTACATAACAACAGCAACAACTGATCTTATTACTAGTCAGAGTCTAGCAAGGGAACCATTGTAATATTCCTGCAAAGAAAGGTTATCCCACATCCCACATGCTTTACATTTTGTTGCCTTTCCTTCCTTCTTGAGGACGTGGGATCTGTAATTGGGCAGGGTGCCTTCCCTTTCCAGGCTGCCTTGAGTCAGCTGCACAGAGGGAGATGGCTCATCTCTCCTATCCCATTCAATCAGAACTAGCCCTCCTTCCCAACTATGGCACCTCCCTGGCATTTGATCCTTAAACTTTTGGCCCTTCTCCAAACAGAAAGGCAATGAAGTCTCCCGGATGATTTTTTATCTGGGGTGCAGCTTTCCTGACCAAAGCAATAAAACTGAAGACTGTTGGACATGTCACTGGCTCCCACCTCTAATCCATGCTGCCCTGAGTGGTTTAATGGCAAAGTGAAGTTTACAAGGCAAAAGATGAAGTGCATTCACTTGGAGGAATCAATACTAACTGAGGCAGGACCAGGGACACCACAGACACCAAGCCAAGTGTGTGTGTGTGTGTGTGTGTGGGGTGTAGCAAAAGCAGGCAGCATGTGCTGCTGTCCAACAATAGGGGACCTATGTCAAGGGTCAGCACATGCCAGAACTGGGGTCATTTCCCCATGGGATGTGCCATATCCTTAAACCTAAGCCAAACTCATTGTTGTGTTGATTCTGACTAATAGTGACTCTACAGGACAGAGTAAAACTGACCCATATGATTTCTAAGGCTATAATCTTTGGTGGCGTAGTGGGTAATGCATTTACATTTGGCTGCTAACCAGAAGGTCAGTGGTTCAAACCCATCACATGGCAGAAAGATAAGGCAATCTACTTTTGTAAAGATTTACAGCCTTGGAAACCCAATGGGGGTGGCTATGAGTCAGAATCAAGTCGATGGCAGTGGGTTCGTTTTTGGTTTGGAATCTGTGTATAATCTCTACAGTCTTGGAAGCCCTATGGGGCAGTTGTACTCTGTCCTATAGGGTCATTATGAGTAGGAATTGATTTGACAGCAATAGGTTTTAATCTTTACAGAAGAAGATTGCCACATCTTTCTCCCACAGAGTGGCTGGTAGATTCTAACTGCCAATCTTTCAGTCTGCAGCTGAACACTTAACCACTGCACCACCAGGGAGGCTTGTGATACCTTTACTCATCTTATTAGTCAGAGGAGCTGCACAAAGCAATATATGGAGAGGTGGGGGGGGGTAGCTCAAGTAGCAAAACCAAAAATTAATAAGACTTCATTTAGAAAAGACAGGAAAAGAATACAGAGCCTGAATAGAAACACAGTCAAAGAAGGAATGAGGGGTTCAAGTACATGTTGTTGTTGTTGTTGATATGTGCCATCGAGTCGTACAGAGATAATGAAAACAAAGATTGGAAAAGTTGAGGTTTATATAATATGCAGACACTTTCTGGGGCCTAGCAGGTACCACAAATAAGTGACTGTGGCTGGGTGGCCGCCAGTAAGAAGGCTGAGGGGATGTGTTCTTGCTTGACCTGGCTATAATGAGCGCATGTCAAATGTTCCTTGGTTACAGCCAACTGCTGCCAGGCTTGGCAGATGGGTGCAGGCTTGCCAGACTTCTGCCAATACACACACACACACACACACACATATATATATACACAATATAACACTGCACAGGCCAAGCAGAACACATTTGCAATCTCAAAACTAGATGATGGTGGCACTTATTTCTGTGATCACTTAAGTAAAAACTGCAGCCAAAAGATACAAGGGAGACACTAGAAAAGCTTTCTCACTGAAAGGGTTGAGAGATACTGGAACATTATCAAAGAGGGATACAACTGTATGAATATTTTTAAATAGCTATCTGTATCAAATGACCAGATTTCACATTCTTTGAGGCAAGAGTACATACCCTTTGCTAGGGGTCCTCAAAGGAACCCTGGTGGCACAGTGGTTAAGCACTCAGCTGTAAACAAAAAGGTCAACAATTTGAACCCACCAGGAGCTCTGAGGGAGAAAGATGTGGCAATCTCCTCCCAGAAAGATTACAGCCTTGAGAATTCTATGGGGCAGTTTTACCCTGTCCTAAAGGGTCATTATGTGTTGAAATCAACTTGGTGACACACAACCACAACAAGGGTCCTTAACAATTAAGATATCCTCCTCAAATAACCTAGAATACTTGGCTAGGATGCCAACTTCATACAGCAAAAAGGTAAGCTATGGACACGAGGTTTATGACAACTTTGGTGCAGGCTTTTTTGGAAGGAAAAAGGAAAGTGAAGCAGCCAAGTGGTTAAAAGCTGCACTGTGTTATTCTGAAAATTCATAATTATTAAATGAACAAATGAATAGACAAAAGAGCCAAAGTATCAATTCTAGAGGGTCAAGTTAGTCTGCCATAAACCAGGGAGGGACAATACTCATATATTTCCAAGAGGAAAAGAATTTTGTCTTATCTGCAAGTAAACCATAGCATGACAAACTAAAGGATTAGATGGCCTCTTAAGTCTTCATTTTCTAGCCTGTGGCTTAATATCTTGAACTCTAGAGAAACATTTCCTCCCACTAGGAATGTCAAACTCTCAGAAAATTACTGAGTGGTGAAAAAATTAGAAAAAGTTAACTTTCTAAAGAATACAATTATTTTCAACTAGATTGTTCTGGCACACACAGAAACAAATATGCATCCTCAAGCTTTCAGTTCTCTGTCTTTTAGCCAACCATCCATTGTGTGTGTGTGTGTGTGTGTGTGTATGTATAGAATTTGCTGTATATAACACAAAACAAGGCAAGGGGTCCCATCTCAGAGGTTAAAATCTATTC